GCTGCTGCTGCTGCTGCTGCTGCTGCGCCGGCAACGCCTGGAGGGCGCCTGCACGGGGTTCCCCCAGCGTGGGGAATTCTGGGAGTTGAAGTCCACGCGGTGGAGAGACGCTGGGCGAGAAGACGCCGGGTGTCGGCGGTGAAACGTGGTTCTGCAAAGAGGAGGGGAGGTTGGCGGGCCTCCGCTAAGAAACAAGCTTGCAATGCCTCTGTACTATAGCATCTATGCTGGTCTTTGACCGTAATAAAGATTGGTTCTGTTTGAACGGGATAATACAGTATTATATTATTGTATTGTACTGTATTACGTTACGTTATTATGCCATCAAATCATTTTCGATTCCTAGTGACCACATAGATAGATTTTCTCCATGACGATCTATTCCTAACCTGGTCCTTCAGGTTTTCCAACGATGCCCCATCGCCACCTTAACTGAGCCCCTCCCCCTTGCTGCTGGTCGTCCTCTTCTTCTCCTTCCTTCCACCTTTCCCAGCATCAGAGCCTCCTCCAGAGAGCGGGGTCTTCGCATCGTGTCTCCAAAGTAGGGTGATGTCAGGCCCAGCCCAAGAACAACGGTGAAACCGTCCAGTTGAGTTCAGTTCCTTTATTTGCTTACATCTGATAGACAGAATCTTGCCAGACTCAGTCTGTACGACTGCAACTAGTGGATCTACCCTGGGAGATTCCAGGGAGTGGCTACCCTGAACCTCTTACGCTTCCCACGCTCCTGCTCCGGACTGTGTTGTCTTTTGTCTCCTTTCCCCTGCTGGAATGCACCCTCTCCCTCCTGACAGCCTTGCTCTCTGTGGCTATCCACCACATGCAATTTGAGCCTGGGCATTTGTATGATACAATACAATATACAATATACTAGCATCTTCTACATATAGAAGATGCTGGTATATATATTAAAACAGAAACCTGGTGAACGAAGTGTCCCCCTGCATTAATGTTTATTCCAATTGTACATGATCTTGTGTTACCATTTAGGCTTCAATATGCTCCATTATTGCCTTACTTTACAACGTAGGTTTGCAAGGAGGCTTTACTAAAAGGAACCAAGTTGTTAAGTGAAAGGCAGTGTGCAAAAAAGCGAAAAGTGGTTTTAAAGCGTTCAGGGTGAGCCAGGTGGCTGGACTAGGCAGAATAAGAAGGGAGGTTTTAAATGGAATTGATTAAAAGTGATGTTGAATTTGCTTCCAGGTGGGAAGTAGATTGAGATTTATGGGGGAGAAAGGAATAATGCAAAAAAGACACCAGCAAATGAAGAAAGGATATTGTTCATTGCACACGAGGAAGTGAAAAAAAAGGGAAAAGAAGAAAATGCATATTGGCAAAAATGAAATGTAGTTATATGGATAAATAAGCAAATTAGAAATTTACATGCAAGGGTTGTAGAGCAGACGTTTGCTATTTAACTTTTCCTAACAAGCTCTACTTAATTGTTTCTCAACCTCTTCAACTTTAAGACAGATGGACTTCAACTCCCAGAATTCCTCAGCCAGCATGCTGGCTGAGGAATTCTGGGAGTTGAAGTCCATCTGTCTTAAAGTTGAAGAGGTTGAGAAACAATTAAGTAGAGCGCATGCTGGCTGAGGAATTCTGGGAGTTGAAGTCCATCTGTCTTAAAGTTGAAGAGGTTGAGAAACAATTAAGTAGAGCGCATGCTGGCTGAGGAATTCTGGGAGTTGAAGTCCATCTGTCTTAAAGTTGAAGAGGTTGAGAAACAATTAAGTAGAGCGCATGCTGGCTGAGGA